GGCGGAGGGAAGATGAAAAACTACCAAGGATGGCCCTGTTTGCCGTCTGGCCGTTCGCACATGGAGGAGTGGTAGGAGGGAGGACGGAGGAGGAGGAGGAGGAGGTACGAAGAGGAGGCGGAGGAGGCGAAGGAGATACAGGATAAGAAAAAGTCTCGATAGACGTCTCTCCTTCAACTCCCTCTCAGTGCCCCCGCCCGTTGCTGGCTGACGGCATTTCCGTGTGGGAAGCAGGAGCGCCCAGCATCGGGGAGACGAGAGGCCGCAAGTGCCACTCGGGGCCTATGTCGAACACGCAGACCTGCGTCATGTTGAGGGTGCGCTCGCTCCTGGGCGGCGTGGGCACGACGAAGGAGGAGGAGGGGGGGAGGAGGAGGAGGAGGAGGAGGAGGAGGAGGAGGAGGAGGAGGAGGAGGAGGAGGAGGAGGAGGAGGAGGAGAAAGAGGAGGAATAGGTTCTGACACCCCGGGGATCGTTCCACCTTGAACGATCGGCCGTCGCCGAAACGTCAGATCGGTCAACATCGACGGATTCTGGGTCGCCGGCGGCTTTCAGCGTTGAGCGCCGGCGGCGGGGTCGCCGCCGGTCGACATGACACAAACCCACCGCAGGTGGCTGGGTCTAAAAACGCGGAGGCTACAAACCAGCGCACACAACACAACCCAAAATGGCTAGAGCCACACTCTGGTCCAAGAATGTTTCATGGCAATGCCGGCCCATGAACACGGTATACGTGAAAGTCAATTCACGCTAACCCAAACAAACATTATGATGACACAGTGGTGGCTGCAGGCTCGCCTTGCAAATTTCGACTGGACACCATGCCGGACTTTGACTGGACACCATGCCGAACTTTGACTGGACACCGAGATGGTGAGGACATTGGATCAGGAACCGCTGGATAAGGAATCCAGGGCCTGAGAGCTGGTGGAACTACCATCGTGGATTGGCCATGGACATCACCGCCACACTCATGAGATAAGGAATCCGCCAGCCCCCTTGCGGGGCCACCAGGCTGTAGGCCGAAGCTTCGCAGTTTCCTGTACCAGTTGCAGCTTCCAGTTTCCACTGTTACAGTTATGCTTCTTGCTGCTTGCTGTTCCTTGTTACAGTTCTGCTTTTTGCTGCATACTGTTCCTTGTTGATGGACCGCGCGAGGGGGGGGAGGCCCAAAACGGATATTTTTACCACGCCCTGGAACTGACTGCGGCCTTGCATCCCTTACAGACGCGTAGGCGTATTAAAAAGTTCGGCATGCATGCGTGACGTCACAAGACAGCTATGCTTCGATACACAGAGGCTGCCCATTGCTGTCTGGGGCGCCCCCGGCGTCTGCGGTCAGCCCAATTTTTGGGCGTGCCGTTGTGATTGCACACAATGCGCCTCACGAGCGACCCGCCGGTCTCAGAAACAATTCTGCGGTAGAGTTGCACTTGCCGCTCACGTAAGATCGAGGGCAACGGTTGTGATCCAGCTCTCTCCAGTACGTTCACGCTACTGACGCGCGAGATGTAAGAATGCGGGATCCTTAAAATGCGGCGCACACATGCGCAGTGGAATGCGTCGAGCCTGTCTCTGTCGTGCTTGAGAAGCCACAGCGAATCCAACGAGTACAACAGTTTGCTGAGCACGCAGCTGTTGTACATGATTATCTTGCGTCGCCAACCAACCGCGGAATGTGTCCACAATTCAGTAAGTTGTTGAAAAACACCTCTGTCTTCTCCAAGTCGTCTCGAAAGTTCATTGCCAACGCGTCCGCCATGGGTTGCGAGCCCCCCCAAATAAATAGCTTCCTTGACAATCTTGATCGGATCCCCATTCGGCGTTCTCACAAAGCCAACAGAACCGATTTTTGAAGTTGCACCGTCTTGCCCCAATTCAATTCCAATCCGTACTTCCGCCCCTCTGCCACAATTGCGTCCAGCATGATCTGTAGGTTCCCTTCATGTTGAGATACCAACGCAGTGTCGTCGGCGCACATGATATCCCTAGAGACCACATAGCTTGGATCTTGTTGAAGGCGCAGGCCCGACAGCGCGTCCTGAAGCATCACCGTCTGCACAACAATAAATGAATACGGCGACAACGGGCATCCCTGTGCGATACCGGCAGCTTGGCGCCGTTGCGAAGATTTACCACAATGGTCTAGTATAGTGAAATACCTGCGCGAATACATTCCTCTGACCATTTGCACGAAAGGTTGCGGTAGCCCAAATCTCGTCAAAACTGCGCACAAACACTCTGGCTTCAATCGGTCGAACGCCTTGGCCCAATCAAGGAGAAGAAAAATAATACCGCCGTTCTTATTCATCAGCGTTGCGTCGACCACGCGCCCCACGAGTATGCGCGCGTCGGCGGTGCCCCGGCGAGGCCAGAATCCAAATTGCGAGCGTCGCAATCGATCTTCTGCACCTCCTTGAAGCAGTCGCTGATGCAACATCGCCGCGAGGGCTTTGTATCCCACCGAGAGCAACGAGATCGGACGATAGTTGCTTGGTAAAGTTGCGTCTCCTTTCTTGAAAAGCAAGATGACATTCGCCATGCGCCATTTTTCCGGTATGTCTTTCTGGAACCAACACCGTTGACCAACGTGCAATAGTGCTTGGCAAGCGTGTACATCTGTAGATACAACCTTCCAAACATCTGGCGGTACGTCATCAGGGCCAGCTGCTTTTCCGTTCTTCATCTTTCTCAACACGAAAATCAGTTCATTCAATGTAAGTCGACGCACGTCTATGGACAAGTCTGCACCAAGAGGGCGGGTAGCTGTAGGAACCACCTCTGGGGAAGTAACTTGCCACTGCACTTTCTCGAAGTAGTCGGCCAAAGCATCCGGACGGCTCGCGGTGTCGGTCAAGTTGTCGCTCATGCCCCTGACTCTAGCGTGCTTTGTCTGAGGCTTCTTCCGTGGCTGTTTAACTGCGCCCCAGTTCCCCCCCCCACCAGAGAATCGCTCATCCAAGTTGCGCGGTCAGCCCGCGCTGCCTTCCGGATCGCCTCGTTGAGAGAGCTCTCGTTGCGAGCGTCGCCCATTCGCCTGAAATTGTTCCTTTGTTCGATGAGGTCCAAAGTAGCCTGCGATATCCAAGGTCGCCGGGCCGGCTGAGCCCTGCGAGGCAACGCATCTGCAGCAGCGCCAAACGCATCTTCGACTTGCTCCGCAGCTTCGTCAAGATAACAACTTGCAACGCTAAAAAATTGCCACTTGCTGTAAACACGCTTCGTGCAATCGATCTCCAAGGCCGGGTCCCGCACCGAAGTTTTGTCGACGTAGGTTCGTGCATGCGCCGCCGAAGCCTGAAATTGTAAGCCAAATTCCGCCGTCAACAAATCATGGTGGCTGTTCAGAGCAACGCCCCGGTGCTTCTGCAGAGCTTCACCCAAGGAAGCATAGACTATAGAGGTATGACAAAGCACATGGTCGATCTGAGCAAACTTATCTGGCGAAATATCGCCGTCCATTGGGGCCGCGCCAAGATCTCTGCATGTAACTCGCTGATCGTCCGGAATGTCAAAAAAACGCACTCGCAATAACCATGTCCGTAGCGACACAATGTTCAAGCAGAAATTGCCTGTTTGATGTGCTTGTCAAATGCACGGAACTATGAAGAGAATCAGCAAGAAAGAGATGTGGGCCAATGCATTGCTCTTCGCCGGGACGTTGCTGGAGTAACTTGGCGTTGAAGTCGCCCAATACAAACGTAGTGCTGTGTTGCGTCGTCGGCCGCACTGTTTCCAGCAATTCTGCGAAGAAAGACTGGCGGACATCGCAATCGTACTTGCTCTGTGGGGCGTAGGCCGACACGACCGTCAAAATGCCATGTTGCACTCTGATTCGTAAAGACGCCAATCGTGGTGATACCGCCCGGAACGCTACTATAGCAGAACGGTCCCATGGAGCAACGATGAAGCCGACCCCCGCTACAAAACGTTTTGCATCGTCAGGCCCCCCAGATAAGCAAACCATAAACCCATCGTAATCGTAATGCTCGGAGCCGTGTAATTGAGTCTCCTGTATGGCCAAGACGGCGATGCGATGGGCAGCCATTGATACGGTTACTTCAGACAACTTGACATATGAATCCCCACGGAGGCCTTCGACATTCCAAGTGCCAAACATATGCGTGCGAAGTGGTTGACATTCTCGTCGAGGCTGGAACCGCGCGTGCAGCCGCGTGGAAGAGTGAAACAATGAAGCTGGACAAATGGAGGAAGAAATTGTAGCACAAGGAGTTGGGAAAATAGAGGATGAAGATGAAGATGTACAAAAAGATGAAGCATGTAGGTGTAGCGGCCTGGAATCTTTGCCCGTGCCTGCTGTAGAAAATGAGCGCGGCTCCGTAGCTGAAGGCGCAACGGTATCTTTGCCCAAGAGACGCCCAATACTAGGAACAGCAAGCTGAAAAAAGATGTCATGCCAGGCTGGACTGTACCTGACAGATGCCGCGTTTCCTAACGCCCTTTCGATTTCCCCTTCGGCTGACCCTTCATGCCGCCAAGGGGCCGAGTAAGTAAAGCACTGCATTTATCTTCCAGCTCCTTGAGGCCTTCGTGTTCTTGGAGTTCCTCCCAACTGGCCCATGTGTCGGCCCACTCCTTCTTCGCGGCATTGCCGGCCACCGTCGCTGTAAGAGCGGGCTCTCCGCCCGCGCTGACCTCGTACGGAGAGGAGTCCGTGATCTTGATGATGTAAGGGAGCTTGAAAGTGTCCTTCAACAGGTACTTCAGTCCGAAGCAGTAATTGCGTGCCGCGCGCTCCAATGGCGGCCTGTCGGGTGACGCCCAGATATCCTTACCATTATGTTGAAGACGGGTGTTCCTGATAAGTGCCACTGCTGTGTCACGATCTGTCGTATCCGAAAGCTCCGCGAACAGAATGTTGGTGGAGTCCCCTTTCATGTACATGTTATGGGGTAAAGGGCCATCACACTGCGATAGCTGATCGCGCAATCATGCGGAGGCCGTATGCGTCATAGTGAACCCATCCAGATTCCCAAAGACTGCTGTAACAGAGCGCTTGTCGTTCGGATCGTGAGGAACTCTGGGACCACCTTGGCGTTTGAGCTGCTGAACCTCACGTTCTAAAGCTTGCAAGTTCCCGAATGTGTTTGTGCCAATGCTCGTTTCCGACCCTGTCCTTGCAGATGGTCCTGGAGTTGGCGCTCGCGAAGCATCCCGCGACTCCATGATCTCCAGACGCGTCGTGATGTCGTCGATGGCGCTGGAAATGAGAGCAACCTTAGCATCAAGATCTGCACGCGAGACTCCATGCGTTTTGATCGCGTTTATGTCCTGGCGTATGGGGTCAAGCTGTTCCTTGAGGATCTCTCTGAAGGTGCTCACCGACACAGACTCTCCCATGATCTTCTTGTCGTCGCTGCTGCTGCCACCGGCACCGGCCAGTTGAGCTTGGAACCGCTGCTGACGTGCAAGAGTGCTCTCGGCGTCGTCGAGCCCGTCCATTTCCTGCAGCGAACTGTGGATGCGGTGCTGCTTGAACAACTGCTGGACAGGTGCTCCTGGCGCACAAGAGTCGACACCGGCCCCCAAGGAAGACATCGATGCAATGTCGAGCTGTATGGGATGACGTCGGAGAGAAGAAAAGAGCAAGAGCAATGGTAAGTACAGTGAGCAGGTGTGACCCCGCCTGGGCCGTGGGCCTGGGCCTTGGGCCTTCGGGCGGCTCTTGAGCCAAAATGGCTTGAGCCAAAATGGCTCCTGAGCCAAATGGCTTGAGCCTGGAAGGGTTCTCAAACTTTCTGGGGGGGTAAAACGTGGCACCCCTCACGCAGATCGGCGGGGTCAGGGTCCAAAAACAAATGGGATTTGCCAGGGTCAGGGTCCAAAAACACATGGGATTTGCCACATTTCTGAAATTCGGTGGCACCCCTCACGCAGATCGGCAGGGTCAGGGTCCAAAAACACATGGGATTTGCCACATTTCTGAAATTCGGTGGCACCCCTCACGCAGATCGGCAGGGTCAGGGTCGGCGGTCACCATCCTCTAGCGTAAGAAATCAGATGCCAATGGTGTACGACGTCCCGTCCCCCTCTCTCTCTCTCTCTCTCTATATATAAGGCGCGGTGGCCAGAGGGACGCCCGAGTGCTGCGCATCCAAGCTGATGAGAGGGGCCTTGCCGTTACCCTGGTGGGCATCAGCGTCGACCGTGGCCAATGGTGGGTCACGGTCTGAAGCGCTTGTGCACGTTAGAGAATAGCGCGGCATGCTGCACCTGCTTTTGTTCTTCCAACGTAATCTTATTAGCTCGCCCCGAAGCCTACATTGGTCGGAGCGGTGTTGCTGGTAAATGGTAGCGAGGTCGGTTTGATGTTTGTGAGCAAGTGCGTTGTATGCCGCGACTGCTCGGTCGACGCCACCACTGCTCTGGAATGTGGCGACGCAGGCTTCCTTGCGACTGAGGTTGGAGTCCTGTCGACCCGCTCAGGGAGCTTTAGGCGGCCTTTGCCTAGTGGCTTGGGCTGCCGTGGTGCAGGGGCGCACGGCGGGGGCCGTTTGGAAACATGGAGCACGCGCGTTGACTGGAGGGATGTGACACGCATCGGCCCTGCAGGATTGATGCGGCTACGGTCTCAACAGGCTAACGGGCGCGGAAGGTTACGTGTCCAGGCTTCGCCCTTAGCGCGAGCGCCCTCGAGCGAAGACAGAGAGCGAGAGCGAGGCCACGGCAGAGGCGGAGGCGGAGTCGCACGGGGCGGACAAGGGGAGGAGGCACGTAATCGCAGGCGGGCCGCAGAGAGGGGCAAAGCCCATAGTCGCGACCGGGACGGCCAAGGCGCGCACGGCGGCGGGGGCAGGGGTAGAACCTGGGGGCTGGCCGAAAGCGTGCTGCGGGCGGGCGGTGGAGCGTGGCGAATGCGAGCGGCGAAGACCAGCAAGAGGAGGGCAGAGGGCAGGGGGCGGGCTGCGGGTGGAGAAGCCTTGCCAGCAGGCGCTCCATCTCGAACCTGGCCGCGGGCCGCGCGACCTCCTCCGCGTCCTCGCCACCATCATCACCACCACCATCATCACCCTGATCCTCCTCCTCCTCCTCTTCTTGTTCCTCCGTTTCTTCCCCACCCTCCACCTACCCCTCTCCCCCCTCCTCCTCCTCCTCCTCCTCCTCCTCCTCCTCCTCCTCCTCCTCCTTCTCCTTCTCCTCCTCCTTCTCAACTCTCCTTCCCTCCCTCAATCATCCTCATTCCACTGCTGGTGCTGCCTGTGCCTTCTCCTGCCCCTTCCCCCCCACTACCCGCCCCCGCCCTCCATCCCACTACTCCTCCCCGTCCTCCGTCGCCGCAACCGCCTCGTCGTCCCTCCTCCTCCTCCTCCTCCTCCTCCTCCTCCCTCCTCCTCCTCCTCCTCCTCCTCCTCCTCCTCCTCCTCCTCCTCCTCCTCCTCCTCCTCATCATCATCATCATCATCATCATCATCATCGTAATCATCATCAACATCATCATCAGCATCATCATGAGCAGCAGCAGCACCATCATCATCATACTCATCATCATTATAACAATCAGCAGCAGAATCATCAGCATCTGCATCATAAGCATCATCATCATCAGCAGAACCATCAGTGCCATCAGCATCATCATCATCAGCAGCAGCATCAGCATCAGCATCATCATCATCATCATCATCATCATCATCATCCACCTCCTCAGCATCTTTCTTCTCCTTCTCAGTCTCCGTCTCCGCCTCCTCCTCCCCATCATCCTGATCCTCATCATCATCCTCCCCCTTCTCCTCCTCATTATTAACAGCATCATCGTCCTCATCCTCATCCCCATCCTCATCCTCATCCTCATCCGCATCCACATCCTCATCCTCATCCATCTCCCCATTCCCATCATCATCATCATGAGCATCATCATCATCATCATCATCATCATCATCATCATCATCATCATCATCATCAGCAGCAGCAGCAGCAGCAGCACCACCACCACCTTAATCAGCATCATCATCATCAGCAGCAGCAGCATCACCATCATCATAAACATCAGTACCATCACCATCACCACCACCACCATCATCATCATCATCACCATCCCGATTATCATCATCACAATCATCATCAGTATCGTCATAATCGTCGTTGCGGTAATAATCGTGACTCTAAACCGAAAATCCTCGCCATCATCATCACCCGCACCATCACCATTACCATCATCGTCATCAGCATCAACATCAGAATGACCAGTATCATCATCACCGCCATCATCGACATCGCCATGGTCAGCATCATCATCAGAATTATCATCATCCTCATCAGCATCATCGTGATCATCACGATGTCCCTCATCATCAGCATCATCAGTATTATCAGCATAATCATCATCTGTCTCATCATCAGCATCATCATAATCGACAGAAGCGTCATCATCATCATCATCATCATCATCATCATCCTCATTGTCATCATCATCAGCATCATCACCATCATCATCACCATCATCATAGGCATGACCACTTTCATCATCAGCATCATCACCATTGATCATCATGATCAGCATAATCATCATCACCATCAGCATCATCATAATTAGCAGCATCATCATCTTTCACATCATCATCAGAATCCTCATTAGCATCATCATCATCTCATCATCAGCATCCCCCTCATCCTCCTCCAAATCACCACCATTTCCATCGTCGTCATGATCACCATCATCATCAGCAGCATCATCATCAGGATCAGCAGCGTCATCGTCATCATCATCGTCGTTGTCATTATCATCAGCAGCATCATCGTCAGTACTAGAAGCATCACCATCATCACCATCATCAGCATCAGCATTAACATCATCGTCGTCACCGTCACCGTCATCGGCATCGTCATCGTCATCGTCAGTAGCAGTAGTATCATCATCAGCAGCAGCATCAGCATCATCATCAGCAGCACCCGCACCAGGACCAGCACCAGAACCATCACCATCATCGTCATTGTCCGTACATCCATCCTTCTCCTGCTTATACTGCTCCTCGTCGTCCTCATCCGCCTCGTGCTCCTCCTCCCACCTACTCCTCTTCCTCCTCCTCCTCCTCCTCCTCCTCGTCCTCCTCTCTCATACTTCCTCATCCTCCCTTGTCCTCCCTCATCATCCATCCTCCCCCTTCCTCCTCCCTCCTCATTCTCATCCCTCATCATCCCTCATCCTCGTTCCGCTTTTCTCATCGACAGTTCCACTCTCTCATCGTCACTTCTCCTCCAACTCTCTCCCTCTCCTCATCCTCGCACTCCCTCCTCCAGCTCCTCCTTGTCGTCGTCCTCCTCCTCCTCCTCCAAATCATCCTCCTCATTCTTTATTGCGTGTCCCTCCTGATCGTCATCACACCTCCTCCCTTATCGCATTTCCCCTCCGTCATTTCCCCTCCGTCATCCTCATTTGCTCTCTCCCCTCCTCCTCCACCTCCTCCTCCTCGTCCTCCTCCTCCTCCTCCTCCTCATCCTCATCCTCCCTCCCTCCTCGCAGTCCTCCAGAGCATCCCAACCTCATTCTGCATCCCTGCGTGGGCGCGGCTGCAGCAAATTATCGCGGCACGTTCTCCATGCAGACGAACGGACGCCGGTTCTCAACGGCCGCAGAACGCAAGCCAGACGGGGGCGAGGACGAGGGCGAGCGCGAAGACCGCGACGAAAGCGGTAGCGGCGACGACGACGAGAAGGACGACGACGACGACGACGACTACGACGACGACGACGACGACGACGATGTTGACTGTTGACGTTGACGTTGACGTCGGCGACGACGACGACGACGACGATTACGACGACGCCCCCCGTGGCCAGGCGGGGCCAGGCCTCGCAGGCGCCTGCTCTTGCCTGGAAGGGAAGGGGGGGGCGTGGGCGCGGGCGCACGAGCGCGCAAGGAGAGGGAGAGGGGCGAAGAGGCGGAGGAGGAGGAAGAGGAGGAGGAAAAGGAGCAGGAGGAGGAGGAGGAGAGCGAGGAGGAGGGCGACGAGGAAGAGGAGACTCTCCCCTGTGCCCGAAGTGGCCATTGCACGATTCTTTTGTTTTTTACTTTGCCTGTCCCTTTTCCTGCTGCGCCCACATAGGCCCAATGAGTAACCCAACGCTTGTTTGCGTACGTTCTTTTGTCATACCTTCTGAGCGCTGCGAACCATGATGCTCAGAGTCTGGCCAACGTTGAGAAGGAGGCTCCCAGGTGGCGCTCCACCTGGCCGAGTTGGAGGCATCTCCGCCTGGGCAGGAGAGGAGGGAGTGATTTAAGTAGGAGGTGTCATGCTTTATTTTCGGATTCTGTTGGTGAAGGGGTGGCAATCGGCCAACCCCCCCCGTTACTGGCGTTGAGGACGATAAAGAATGAGGAGGAGGAGGAGGAGGAACATCGGGCAAAGGAACTTGGCAGCGAGTGTTTGCCGCACCCGTGAGCGCTGCCAGTGCGCACTCGCTCTAATCAGGAGTGTTCGCCCACTGCTGTACAACAGTGCTGTGCAGCTCGACTTCGGCGAATGACCCTGAATGTTTCCGAGGGTGAGGGCAATTCCCCAATCAGCGCTCGCACTGACTGGGGCCCTAGCGGAACTTAAAGAGTTGGGCGAACGTGGCTGGCCGATTTCGGTAGGCGGCCAGGTTCCCGGCGGAGTGGGAGGAGGAGGAGGAGGAAGAGGACGAGGAGGAGGCGGCCAAGTTCCCGGCGCCCCGTTTCAAGGTTCCCGGGTCCGGGTTGCTGGTCCTGGACTGGCCTCGGCGGGCGGCGGGGTGCCCAGGGTTCCGCTTTCGGGCTCCCGGGCTCCGAAGCCACAGGTCGCTGTCACATTGGGTCCCAGTGTCGATCGAGCCATCCATCTCACGCAATCGGTCTCACGATCGACCCCACGACCGATCTCACTCACTTCCTATCATGATCGATCGAACCATCCATCTCACGCAATCGACCGCGTTATCGATATCACGTCCGATCTTACTTAATCGATCTCACTGTCTTACTCGGTCGATCTTACCATCGATACACGGGGTTCGTGAAGGAGTTGTCCGTCGAGTGGACTAAACAAGATGGAGTGTTGGCGCCGTTGCCTTCGAAGCAGGGCAGCGAGAGAATGCCATGCAGGCCATGGCGGCGTGTGGAAAGGAGCCGAAGCTCCGCTACCAACTGTAAGTAAATGGTCAAGATAAGATGTGGTGTTTCCGTACGCTGAAAGCGAGATGAACAGTTCAAAACGAGTCTAACCTAACAGGCATGGAAGGCTAGCATTGAGCCAAACGGCAGCGGAAAAGGACGGAAATGGCAGGCAGCATATACAGAGATGCCGTCCAAGTAGGAGGAGGAGGAGTAGGAGGAGGAGGAGGAGGAGGAGGAGACGAACCTCCCTTCCCTCTCACAGCTATCCTCCCTTGTCCCCCCTTCTTCCCTCCTTATTACCGCGTATCCCCTTCTCCCTGACCGTTGCTGCTCGATGCGTTGCTGAACCCACAGCGACAGACGACAGGAAGGAGGAGGAGGGAGAGGAGGACTAGGACCTCCCTCCCACTCCCTCTCCCCCCCCCCCACCCTCTCGGCCCCCATTCCTCCTCCTCCTCCTCCTCCTCCTCCTCCTCCTCCTCCTCCTCATCACCGCATGGCCCCCTCTCCCTGACCGTTGCTGTGCGATCGGTTGCTATATGCCAAACCAGCTGCACGCGGGGGCAGTGCCAGGTGCCCTGCACAAAGGTCGCACAACATGTGCGGCTCATCAGACACCACTGACCACAAGGGCTAGCCAGGCACTGACAATATTAGCGCTCGAGGGAACACACGGCCGAACGGACACATTGCAGGAGTGCCAGCATACAGGCCCATGGGAGTCGTCATGATACTGACAGGGAAGAAGTAAGCGTGCTGCACGCAATGGCGAGATGGCTCCGCGGCTGCGCAGCGCGCAAGGTCCCAGCTCAGGGCGTGGACCTGATGATCATGAAGCGCGCATCGAAGGATTCCGCTGCGCAAATGACGCCCAACATGTATATGGAAGATTGCTGATGCATATGACGCCGGAGACCTACCTGCTGGACTGCTGCCTTGGAAGATAGCTGATGCACCTGCCGTTGGCCATCTACCCACTGAACTGGCTCGAAAGAGATGACAGCTGGCACAAGGTTGAGGGTGGAGTCTCCGCGCTTGTACACTTCAAGCTGGTGGAGTTCGCCATAGTTCATTTCGTGACTGGCGTCACCGAGGCTTCGGCCGAGGTGGATTACCCCAGTGCGCGCTTCGAAGGACGCCGTTGCGAATCATGCAGGACGGCCCCCATCAGCGGCCAGCAAGCGTGCCCGCGCGCGCGCCTGGCCGCCCGCAAACCAAGCACACAGCGTCCGCGGAAGGAGAGCGGCCCGCCCCGCGACGCGATCCGTCCGACACTCCCCGCGACCCGCGCGCGACCCGGCCCACGACCCGGCCGCCGCCCGCGCCCAGACCCGCCCGCGGACCGCGCCCACCGCGAGTGCCTCGCCTCACCCGCATGCTGATTCGCTCACCCTGGTGCTGCACCTCACGCTCCGTCCACGGGCTCACCTCGCGCTCCCTCAAGCGGCTGACCACGTGCTGATCGCTGAGTCGCCTCAGAGCGGTCTTGCTGGTGCACCTGGCTGTGAGTTGCGCGGCACGCACCGTGCTGATCCCAGCGGCACGCCCCATGGTGACCTGGTCACCACGTGGGGCATTTCCCCTGGCGACTTCACGGGGTCAACACGTGGGTCTGGGGTCGCAGTGGCTAACGAGCACACGCATGATCTAGACACCTTGCAGCTGCTTCAATTGCGCAGCACCTGCCAGATGGTACATACTTTGGGATGTTGGGATGCAAAAGCGATTTTGAAGTGCAAGCAAGAATGAAGGCACGAAACCAATCACGTCCAACGCACCCTTCTGGCAACCGCCGAGCTTGGCGCGGCGACCTCCTCCTCCTCCTCCTCCTCCTCCTCCTCCTCCTCCTCCTCCACATCATCATCATCATCATCATCATCATCATCATCATCATCAGCATCATCAACATAACCATCATCAGCCGCAGCAAAACAAACATGATCAGTACCATCGTCATCAGCATCATCATCAGCAGCAACATCAGCATCAGCATCAGCATCAGCATCAGCATCATCATTATTATCATCATCATCACCATCAGCATCATCATCATCATCATCATTATCATCATCATTAGCATCATCATCACCATCACCGTCATAATCATCATCATCATCATCATCATCAGCATCATCATCATCGACACCGTCGTCATCATCATCAACAACATCATCATCATCATCATCATCGACACTGTGGTCATCATCATCAACAGCATCATCATCATTATCATCGACACCGCCATCATCATCAACAACGACAGCAACATCATCATCGATATCGCCATCGCCATCGCCATCGCCATCATCCACATCACCATCACCATGAACATTGTCATCATCAGCATCATCATCACCATCACCATCACCATCACCGCCACCATCACAATCAAAATCACCGTCACCATCACCACCACCACCATCACCATCACCATCATCGCCGTCATCATCACCATCATCACCTTCAGCATCACAACCACCATTATTATCACCACCACCACTACAATCAGCATCCTCATCCTCATCCTCATCCTCATCCTCACCACCATCATCATCACAATCATCATCATCAGCAGCAGCAGCATCATCAGCATCAGCATCATCAGCATCATCAGCAGCATCACGATCATCTGCCTCTTGCTCCCGTGTTCAACACGGGAGTCTTCGCCCTCTCTCCTCTGTGCACTGCAACCTCCGTTCTCTCGGAGGCATCCAAGAGGGGGGCGCCCAAGAGGGGGGGGGCGCAAATCCTGGCCGGCGGCACGTGCGCGGCCCAGGGGGGGGGGAGGGACGTATGGAAATGAGACGAAACGCCAGGACATCTGGGGAGAAATCGTGGCCCCCGCCATGATGATCCCCCCCCCCCGGTCATCACCCTCCTCTTGGCCGCCCCCGATCCTCACCTGCCACACAGCCCCCGCCCCTCTGCGTACTGCAGCCTCCGTCCTCACCCGCCGCAGAGCGAGCTCGAGCACGAAAACGGCAGCCCGCTGCCGTGGCGGGCCCGGTTGACGCCACCACGTGCAACCTCCGTCCTCGCCCGCCACAGAGCGAGCTCGAGCACGAAAACGCCAGCCCGCTGCCGTGGCGGGCCCGGTTGACGCCACCACGTGCAGCCTCCGCCCTCACCCGCCACGGGGCCCCCTGGGCCCCACGCGGGGCAGTCCCCGGGAGGGGCGCGCGCGCGCGGGCGCCAGGAGCTGTAAGGAGGGAGCGGAGACCCGCGCCGCGGCGAGGGCGAGGACGGGCCCGACGCCGAGGGCCAGGCCAGCGACGAGGGCGAGGGCGAGGGCCGGTGCCGAGGACGAGGCCGACGACGACGTTGCGTTGCGTTGCGTAGGCGTCATACAGGGGTGCCTCCTGGGCCCGACGCCGCTCACAGAAACTTAAAGGGTAGCAGCGTCGAGAATTATCTTAAAGATTTCCGCCATTCAAGCCACGTCTTCTGTCCCTCTCTCCAAGACAGCCCTGAGACGGGCTTCAGAAGCCAGTGGTCCCCATAAAACTTATAGAAGTCACGCTCCCAACGCCAGATCCCGACTGTACGGTGATGCAACTGGGAGCCCTGCCACCTGGTCATTTCTATCATCCATGCCCTATCGTGATACCGAAGGACGCGGTACGCGATCCTCCCAGGAAAGGCTCTACCCAAAGACTGGAAGAAACCTCCCCGATTGTGCTGCATCCTTCTGCAGGTCTGGGGCCACGATTCTACATTGTATCTAGCTCTGACATCAGCAACGCAATGCATGGCGGTCTTCATATATTCAGCTGCGGATTCTCCGCGTGGCGGACGGATCATACGTCTAAGCATGGTAAAGTGACATTTAGAGATCCTACTCATGGCAGAGACAGTAATATGTAGACTCCCTATGCAATAGGTCAGGGCTGGGCGAACACAACGGTCCAGGGCCTTCAACCTTTTCAGAAGGTTTATCTTTCGGTTGGTCAGCATTGCACGGTGAACGGCCCAAGTGCGCCACGCGCGCTGAATTCTGTTGCAGACCTCGTGTGTGCAGCTGCGATCGAAGGCGACAAAAGTCCCGAGCATTTTCAAGCCTTCGGCTCTGGCTCTGCAGGGGATGCACGTGCCACGGACGCGAAGCGTGCCGATATGTGACGGATACGCGCGGCGCCACTCCATTTCCTGCACGGGGACCTCTAGACCGCTACGCTCAAGGATTCGAAGCCAAGCTTCAGTCATCATCGCGGCCATCGAGACCGATCTCGCTAAGATCTAAAAATTATCGGCGAAACTCAAGACACCTAAAACCTCATCCTCCTCTCCAGGGGTGGTCAAACAAAGACCCCTGCCATTTTTACGGCAGAGGTCGTGGAGAGCGAAAAGACACTGGTCGAGAAAAACATTGCTGAGCTCAGGCGCCGCAGGGCCCCCCTGGATGAGAGGCTTCCCACGCCGAATCTGGTCCGTGAGGGCGTTCCCAGGGAGGCGAACTCTGGCCTTAGAACGGCGAGTTTCACGGATCCACAACGAGATAGCCACGCGTGCGACCCCGTGACTGTCGAGGCGACGGGCCAGAGCGGCGTGCTGAATAAAATCATAAAACTTTCTCATGTCTCCGCCCACGACGACGAGCGGGGGGTCCTTATACTCGCAGAACTTCTCAACGAAGTGGCGCAAGCTATACATGACTTCGTGGGCCTGATAACCTCTACGAAAAGCGAACTGGCTCTCACTACGGCACGATTCGATCACTCCTCGCTGCGTTTCCATCACCATCATGCTCAGTATCTTCTGCAACACCGAAATCAGGGCTATCGGGCGAAACTGACTGATCTTTCGGGCATCTGGCACTTTTCGGATGAGCTGAACCACGTGGCCGCTCCAGGCCGTGTCGAAATATTCCGAGGTGTGATTCCTGAGCCGCAGTCTGAAGGCCTGCAGCAGGTGCTCTAAGACGTCCGTCTCCAGCCCCTGGAGCATTTCGCCCGCGATCATGTCGGTCTCGTCGCAGGACTTGCAGCTCTTGAGGCGGCCGATGCACATGCGGAGAAGCGGGGGGCTCAAAGGCACGGATTGTTGTTGCTCCTCGGCTGACCACTGCTGGTGGATCCAACCTGGCAGCTGTCGGTCACTGGCCGCGTCCTGGAACAGTTGAGTGTAGAAAGTATGAGCCTCCTGCAGTCGCTCGGCACTGGTGGTAGCCTGGCCGCCATCCATCCAAACAAGGCAGTGCACTGGGCGCCCCGTCTTGTAGGCCTTCTCGGCCCGACCTCTCTCGCACAGACGGGACAGATGCTCAGTGGAACATCGGTCTCTCATAGCCCGCTTCAGCTTGCAGACCGCGGGCCCCATGAGGTGTCTCACTCTCGGGCCCTCCTCCGCGGCTCGCGCGCGCTCCAAGGCCCGCAGCTGGAGCAGCTGGGCGTCGCCTGGCGGCGGCCGCCACCAGCCTCGGCGCGGGGCGTGGCCAGCCTTCGCGGCGGCCGCGCAGATGGCGGCTGACAGGAGGCCCAGCGAGGCGATGCCCTGGCGCGTGCTGGAGGCTGTCGCCGCAGGCGCTGCCAGGTGGAGACCCAGCGCGGCACCCGCGTCCTCACTGAGGATGTCGGCCTGGCGCCGCTTCCGCTCCGCACGGCAGGCTGCGCGGTGGGCAGCGCAGGTTTCCTGGAAGCCAGCAGAGCCCCAGTCAGGTGTCGGATATGGCCGTCTCCAGCGGCTGTCGCTGTAGCGCTGGTCACTGCCCTTCTTGGCGAGGTAGTCTGCCTGCTCGTTGCCCGTGTTCCCGTTGTGGCTCTCCACCCATCTGATGATCATGTCATAAGCGGTCTGGCAGCGCTGCCACAGGTGGGTGGCCAGGGTCGCAAGCTCGAAGTTCCCCTTCGGCTGGAAGACACCCTGCAGCAGGTTGCGTACGTACGTGGAGTCGGTACTGACGATGATGCGGGCGCCGCCCCGTGCTAGAGCAGCGCCGTCCGAGTAGATGCTGTCCGAGTAGACGCTGTCCGAGTAGCCAGAGCAGCGCCTCAACGATGGCTGTCAGCTCGCCCGTGTTCGCCGATAAACATGTCGCGCCCACATATCGAGGGTCCTGCACGTCAGCGGTGACCTGACCACAGGCCCCCAGAAGACTGGTAGCCTGGTCATTCGGCTCGGCTACGTGATAGAGTGCGAAGCCCCAGCCAGCCGCATGGCACCGATGACGCCGCTGTCGATCTCGTCCACGCCGAGCAGAGCCGTCCGTAAAGATCCCCAATAGCGTTCGTCATGTCCCCCTCAGTGTACATCGCGGTCTCTGGCGGGGTGTAGCTGATCTCCAGGGGCGTGCAGATGGTGGAGTTGAACAGCTCGGGGTCTTCGACCTGCCAGCCCACGGGCTTCCGTGGTGGTCGCTCAACGGTCTCCATCGGTGTCAGATCGGTGTGGCCATCGATCGTGGGAACGCCTTGGCCAGCGTGGCAGCGCAGGAGGAGCGGCAGGTGGTCGCTCGAGGAGGCGTCGGTGAAGCGGGCCTGGCAATGCGTCCGCGGCAACCAGTCGCGGTGGATCAACATGAAGTCGATCTGCCTGGGCCCCTTGCGATTGTCAAAGAAACAGGTGGCCTGGCCCCACTGTCAACGGGAATAGGTATTAGCAGCTATCAGATCGAACTCGGTCATAAGGTCGTGAAGCATCTCGCCTCGCCAGGTCATCTCGGAAGTAGAGAAAGGGCCCACAGTGTCTCCGCCAGGCATCCCTAGGCCGTCCTGGGCATCGATGCTGACAATGGCGTGGCAATCAATCGGCATGGTGATCAAACATTCTCGTAACTGCTGGACGGTCCCAGCGTACTCACATCGAACGATATGCGAAAACAGGTGGCTAGTGATAGCCCGCACTCGACCCCAGATAGGCAACTGTAAGTCTAGGGCCATGGTGCGGCCGTGGAACTGCGGCTCGCCAATGACGGAGGGCGCCAGTGAGTTGGCCACCGCTATCGCACACCTCTGCCAAGCCCCCGATGGAGGCGACACGTGCACAACATAACCGTTCTAAGTATGCTGAGCTCCACCAGCAACGCACCATTCTTGAAAAAGGATCAGACTAGCATCGAATTCGTCGGTCAGCGACTCGAGCACGGCACGGCGCCGCTTCGCAAGGACACCTCTCGCAGTCCACCCAAGAACTGTGAGGTCCCTGATGTCCTTAACGTAGCGCCTGCCCCGTACTCGACATCACTGGAGCCTCGGAGGGTCGTTGATCTCGCTCAGCCGCTCGTGCAGCTTGAGATCCTTGAGCTCCTGGTCCAAGGCAGCCGCTGCCAGGGCGTCGGTGCTGACCTCGAGCATGTCTGACGTCCTGCAGCGCTGCAGCAGGCGAACTGGCCTCTCCGTACTGTTCTTGCGGAACACCACCTGTCCGCGGTCCCAGTCGCCGTCGAAGGTCCGCTGCTTCGACTCCTCCGTGCACAACCCCGACTGGATGCCGAACTCGCGCAGGATCCTCACCGCGCAGCTGACCCGCCGCGAGAGCTCCACCTCATGGGGCTCCTGGTCAACCTTGTGCCACAGCTTGTCGTTGCGCGCCCCAGGGCATGGAATCTTCTGGCCCTTCCAGCGCTTCATGAAACCCCACATCTTTTGATTGTTCGCGAAGACCACTTTGGCCTGGTCGCAGAACCGCCCCACCCCGCAGATCTCCGTGATCCCTTGCGCCTCTAGGGAGATCGTCCTGGCGAGCTCCGTACGCAAGTGCTTCTCAACCTCATCCTCATCCCACGTGCCAGGGAAGCCCGCGACGAACACCATGTGCTTGCAGTTCTTCCCTCCTCGCGGCCGCGCCGTCGGCGGTGGCATCCCGCCTGCGCGCTGCTGATCCAGGTACGCACCCCACGGATCAGGCTGGCCGCTCACGTGGGAGACAGATCCCAAGCCCGCTCTCGGCCCGACCGAACTCGCAGAAGAGCGGCCCGCCTCGAGAGCCTCTAGTCTGACCTCCTGCGCCCTCAGTCTGGCCTGCACCGCGGAGATGTCGCGGCTGCTAGCCTCTGAAGTGCGCTGCAGGGCATCGACACGAGTCTGCAGTCCGTCCAACTTCACCCCCATCGACTGGTTGAGGGCCCCGATGATATACTGCGCCAGCCCTAGCTGTGCTGGGTCGGTAGGAGGGCTCGGGGCGGCCTGCGGCACGACGGCCTGGGCGGGCACAGCACGCTGGACCCCGACGGGGGCGATGTCATCGTCAGTGTCCCGATCCTCCATCGCGACCCCACCTGTGCTCAGTCCCGTCTTGCGCCGCTGATCCCGCTCCCAGGCCTGGCCAGGTGCGTCGGCGGCCGCGCCAGCAAGCAGCACGGGCGGCGGGGCATTCACGAAAGCCATCCAGGATCGCTGCAAAATGCGCGCGAGGAGGGCTCAAACTCGAGAGTGGCCAGAAACTCCTGTCTCTGATCCAGGCGGGGCCGCCTGGACGGACGTGCGATCTCCAGAGCTGCCTGGGTGGCGTCTTGAGCCAAAATGAGGACTTGAGCCAAAATGGCCGACGACGACGGGGCCAACGACGAGGGCGAGGGCGACTGCGAGGGCGAGGACGAGGCCGACGACGAAGATGCGGGCGGGGTCGGCCAACGAGAAGGGTGAGGACTAGGATCAGACCAGCGACGGTCGCCGAGGGCGAGGGCGAGGGTGGGGACGAGGCCAACGACGAAGACGTCTGCGAAGGGCGAGGACTAGGACCAGGCCAACGGTGAGGCCGAGGACGAGGGCGCGGGCGAGGCCGAGGGCGAGGGCGAGGCCAACTGAAAGGACAGTGGCGGGGGCGAGGATGAGAACGAGGACGGGAGCACGAGCGGGGACGAGGACGACAGCGACGACAGCGACGACAGCGACGACGACGGCGGAGGCTGCAAGGAGTGGCGGGTGGTCCTGGCACGCCGGACGACCACCGTGGCAGCGGCCGCCGCCGCCGCCATGGCGGCGCGCAGTCCGCGCGCGGCGGGGCCTGTGTGCTGAAATGCGCCCTGGGGGGGACTTGAGCGGTGCAAGCGCGGTCCTCCTCCTCCTCCTCCTCCTCCTCCTTCTCCTCGGGCCTGCAGGGGCACCCGGAGGGCCTCCCAGGGCGTCCAATCCTGAGGTCCTCCTGGTGCCTCCCGAGGCTCAACCGCTGAAAACGCCCTTGGGCACCGCGGTCCTCAAGCACAAGCTGGGTGAAAGGGAACGCCCGCACGCACCACCACCACCACCTGGGGTGGAGGTACATACTCTAGATTTCGTAAAAGGAGGTGGGGGGGAAGGAGATCACAGCCCTCCCAGACGAGACATTTTGGCCCACCCCCACATCTTGGGGCATCTGCGTAAAAAGACAGCCCAGAATGGCCGTGCACAGCGTCAAAACCACAGCCGCCCACTTCTCGCCCAGGCAGCTCGAACCAACGCCTCCCCCTCCAAAATCATACTCCGTTCCTATGATGACCTGCACACCTGCTTCCCGCAGATCAGCTCATCCTCACGAGCGGCGAACATATCCGTATCCGCGTCCACCCCACGCGGTCCGGAGCCTGGGGCGCGATCCCGCGGGTGCGCGGTCGCACGGGTACGTTCCGCGCAAGGCTTCCGCACACGCAAAAAAAACGCCCCCACTCCGCGGGGTCGAGGCCCCGGGGCCCTGCCCGCGACCGGCCCGCGACGCCGCGGATACGGATATGCTTTTCGCCCACGACATCCTACATTCCCCCCCAGGTGGTGGTGCGCTTCCTGCTCTCCCAGGCCTCCCCGACTCGATCCTGGAACTTCGACATTGCGTGCCGCCGACCCCGTCATCGTCGTCGCCGCCGCCTCCGTCGTCGTCGTCGTCGCCGTCGTCGTCGTCGTCATCGTCGTCGTCGTCGCCGTCGTCGGCGGCGGCGGCAACCGCGACGGCGTCGGCGTCGACCTCGGCGTCGGCGTCGGTATCGTCGCCGTCGCCGCCGTCGTCGCCGCCGCTTTGATCGCTGCGCGGCCACGACGACTTCGATGACGACGACGCGCACTCTTGTTCGCCACGTGGCTATGTCGTGCCCCGTCTGTCCCAAGGCGCCGATAGCCAGGCCGGCCGCAGAAGGCGGGCCCCCAGCTGCTAGGCACCCGCGGTCGCCCAGCCGGGCCCCCGAGGACCACGCCAGGTTGGGGGGAGCAGGAGGGAGGAGGTGGAGGAGAAGGGGAAGGAGGAGGGAGGAGGGAGGAGAACGGGGGAGGAGAGAACAGGGAGGAGGGAGGGAAGGAGGGAGGAGATAAGAGGCAAGAGGAGAGGGAGGACAAGGAGGAGGAAGAGGAGGAGAAAGAGAGAGAGAAGGAGAGGTATAAGGGAAAGGGGCAAGCGAAGTGCGCTCGCATCGCATACTACGTCCAACCCCTCTCTCCCATACCTTTTCATTGCGTGGTTTTGTATCTATCCGCGGACTCGTGCCACGGAGGAGCTGATATTCCCCAAAAACCCTTCTTGGGCGCCAGCTTCCACTGGTACGTGATGGATGGCGCGGGCCTCCCGCTCAACGAAGGAGAAGGAGGAGGAGGAGGAGGAAGAGGAGGAGGAGGAAGAGGAGGAGGAGAAGAAAGAGGAGGAGGAAGAGGAGGAGGAGGAGGAGGAGGAGGAGAAGAAGAAGAAGAAGAAGGGAGGAGGGATGGAGGGATGGAGGGAGGGAGGGAAGGGGAGACGGAGGGAGGAGGGCGGACGGTGGAAGGTGAGGGGAAGAAGGAGGAAGGAGGAGGGAGAAGGGAGAAGGGAGGACGGAGGGGGAAGGAGGAGGAGGGAGGAGGACGGAGGAAGAGGAGGATGGAGGAAGGAGGAGGGAGGGAGGAGGGAGGGAGGAGGATCGTCGGGGCAGGCAAAGCGACCGCGGTCCAAAACCCCGAGGGAGAGGGTCGGCGCCTGCCGCACCGCGGGCGCCCCGGACGGGGCGGCCGCGGGCCAAGCTGTTCCACCCAACTCCGCCGCCGCTGCGGCGGCGGGCTCTGCGCAAGGTCCCGACGCCCCCCCCCTCGTAGGCCCTGCGACGTCATCTCTTCTTCCTCCTTTTCCCTCCATCCTGTCTCCTCATGGATACTTCCCCCCGGTCGCACCCCGAGACGCGTCGGTTGGGCGAACTGAGCGTTTCGCCTGAGAGGTCTTCATTAAATTGTGAAAATTATCCCGGCAAAGCAACCTAACAGCGATATGTAGAAGCATATCTGAAAGCATTCCCCTTAAGATCCAGATGAAAATCCAGTTGTAGAATTCTGCTGTTTTTCGCAGTCGTAGTCGCATTCGCGATGACAGTCGCAGCGGCAACGGCAGTCGCAGTCACAGCCTCAGCCTCAGCCTGCCTCAGCCTCAGCCTCAGCCTGCCTCAGCCTCAGCCTGCCTCAGCCTCAGCCTCAGCCTGCTTCAGCCTCAGCCTCAGTCTGCCTTCAGCCTCGGCCTCAGCCTCAGCCTGCCTCAGCCTCAGCCTGCATCAGCCTCAGCCTCAGCCTCAGCCTGCCTCAGCATCAGCCTGCTTCAGCCTCAGCCTCAGCCTGCCTCAGCCTCAGCCTCAGTCTGCTTCAGCCTCAGCCTCAGTCTGCCTTCAGCCTCGGCCTCAGCCTCAGCCTGCCTCAGCCTCAGCCTGCCTCGGCCGCAGCATCAGCCTGCCTCAGCATTCAAAATGTGGCCCAGGAATGGAGTTCTGGGAACTAGAAGAACACGAAGTGGCCTACAGTTGGCTCCGGGCATTCAAAATCATGCCCAGGAATGGAGTTCTGGGAACTTGAAGAGAAGTGGCCTACAGTTGGCTCCGGGCAAAAATGTGGCCCGGGAATGGAGTTCTGGGACGAAGAGCACGAAGTGGCCTACAGTTGCTCCGGGCATCCAAAATGTGGCCCGGGAATGGAGTTCTGGGAAATCGAAGAGCACGAAGTGGCCTACAGTTGGCTCCGGGCATCCAAAATGTGGCCCGGGAATGGAGTTCTGGGAACTCGAAGAGCACGAAGTGGCCTACAGTTGGCTCCGGGCACTCAAAATGTAGCCCGGGAATGGAGTTCTGGGAGGTCGAAGAGCACGAAATGTGTGACTGTTGACGGAAAACGAGCCCGGCTCTGTTCCCGGTTCTCCAGAATGTGGCCTGGGAGTGGAGTTCCGGGAGGTCGAAGAGCACGAAGTGTGTGACTGTTGGCGAAAAGCGAGCCTGGCTCTGTTCCCGGTTCTCCAGAATGTGGCCCGGGAATGGAGTTCTGGGAGGTCGAAGAGCACGAAGTGTGTGACTGTTTGCGAAAAACGATTCCCGGTTCTCCTCCCCGGCACCCGCCCAGACCCCCCTGAGGAGTCATGATGCTCTCTTTTGAGACCACTAGAAACCTATCAGCAAACGCTGTTAGGTAATGATACCGACTGGACATGTGCAACATGTTCGCGGATGGGGGGCGGGCCATTTCCTCTCGCCTTAGCGCCGCGCACAATCGTTTTACAAGTCCACAAGCGCTTCACGGATGAATGGCGCGCCGTTTTCAAAATTTAGTTTTCGCTCGGAACCCCGCGCGTTCGTTTTACAAGTTCGCAAGAGCTTCACGGATGGAGGGCGGGCCATTTTCGGCTCTCGCCTCAGCGCAGCACATATTCGTCTTAAGAGCTTACAGCAGCAATGATTATGTTACCCTGCGTGAACTCCAAGCTGTAAGCTCCTGCATCCTACGCGGTGCGATCTATGTGGTGCAACTAATCTTGACCGTCTTGAAGCTGTCCTCTCCACTGCTCGTGCAAATATCCCACCCTCCCACCCGCAACTTGGTCGCAAGACATCTTCAGACAAGACCGTGACGGTAGGCACTGCATGGCACTTGGCCACGACACCGATGCCGACGACGACAGCGACATCGACGACGACGGCGCCGCCGACAGCGACTGCGACGACACCGACGACGTCTCCAATGTTTTCGACGACGACGACGACGACGACGACGACGACACCGACGACGACGACAACGACGCCGACGACGACGACGAAGACGACGACGACGTCGCCAACGGAGACGACGACGAGGGAGGAGAAAAAACGACGACGGCGACAACGACGACAACGACGATGGAGGAGGGAAGACGGCGACGACGCCAACGACGAAGAAGGAGGAAGGACGGCGACGCCGACGACGACAACGACGAGGGAGGAGGGAAGACGACGACGATGACAACGACGACGAAGACGACGACGACGGCGACGACATAGGAGGGACGACGACGAGACGCCGACGACGGACGACGACGACGAGGGAGGAGGATAACGACGAGGGAGGAGTGAAGACCACGACGACGACGACGACGACGACGCGACGAAATAGGAGGGACAACGACGAGACGCCGACGAAGACAACGAGGGAGGAAGGACGACCACGGCGACAACGACGACGGAAACGACGACGACGCCAAGACGACGACAACGACGACGAGGAAAGACAGAAGACGACGACGGCGACGACGACGACGACGACGACGAGGGAGGAGGGAGGACGACGACGACGACGACGACGCAAGAGCGCGCGCGCACAATTTTGTTGAAAACCCGTGTTGCGAAACCTTGTGTTTTTGTAGGTTTTTTGGATTTCGAAATCCTTCCGAAACCGAAGGTTTTTGAAGGATTTCGGCATACGCCCGCGACGACGCGCGCGTCTGCACTTCGTCTCGTTTTTTGCAAAGGATTCTCGCGACGGCACACGCGCAAGGGCGTTCGACAGATTTCGACATGCGCGCGCGCGAAGCCCGTTTGGTAGCATTTTGTGAAAATCTTGGAAAACCTATGGTTTTCTTAAGATTTCGCAAGAGCTCGCGCGTAAGTTTTTTTAGCAAATCAGTGTTGCGAAACCATGTGTTTTATATGTTTTTTGGAAATTCAATTTTGAAATACCTCCGGAACAAAAGGTCTTTGAAGGATTTCGGCATGCGCGCGCCACGACGCGCGCGTGCGCACTTCGTCCTAATGTTTGCAAAGGG